CAACCACACAAGGAGAGAGGGCAGAGGGGTTTCAGCAGAGGGAGCAGGAAGTACTAATGTCCTGAGGCAGGAATGAGACAGACATTCAGGAAACACACAGAAAACAGATGTGGCTGGAATGCACTGAGCCGGGGAAGAATGGAACCAAATGACACTGGAAAGAAGCAGAAGCCCAATCACAAAGGGCTTTGAAGGACATGTCAAGGAAATTACACGTTATCCTTAGTGTGATGAGAGGTCAGTGGGGAATTTAAGCAGAAGAAAGTACTAGACTGATTACTTTTGCCTACCCGGAAAAAATACTCACTTGCTTCCCTTTGCTCGTCGTCTTTCCCTCCATCTCCCAACATTCACAGCTGACATTCATGAGTGGGCCTGTACCCACCACACCATTTCCTTACCACCAGCCTCCAGGCACTGGGTAATACGTTCCATTTCCTGCACTGTCTCCAAAACTCCTTCTCAAAGGGTTCTGGCTTCCTTTGTGCACATCTCTCTTGAAACCCCCCTCCCCAAGCACTTCACTCACTCACAAACTTTTACTGAGGCCCTGTTTTGTCCCAAACTTTACATCAGTCCCTGGGGATCCTCCTTTTATGTTAGCAAGAAAGAGAGTCCCTGGCCCTCAAGGAACCCAACGTGTGACAATTAAACCAGCCTGACCACTGAATTCTAAGGTCTATGAAAGTAGGCACTGAGATGAACATGGGAGACTGCAGGAGCTTCTCAGTTCATCTGATGAAGGCTGAGTGAGGGGGCAGGCAGGGCAGAGGGAGGAAGCACTGCTACTTGAGACATGGGGACAGCAGGAGTGAGCCAGGCTAAGGAGAGCACCATATTCCAGATGGTGGAAACCATAAGTGAGAAAGTGCCTGGCAAATGTAGGAACTGAAATGGTTCACATGGTTCAATAGGCCAGAAAGCAAATTTCCTCCCCATTATTAAGGTGCTCTTCCATAGCAGTTTTCTTCTGTTGATTTTATTCATTCCCTTACAAACGCTTTTCTTTATAATAATGTATTGATAATTTTAAAATATGGTCATTGTGAAAACTGATGAAAAACAGATAAGAAAAGTAAAATTAATATCAGCTACCTCTTAATACATTGCTGTATTTCTTTCTAATTCTTTTCCCAATGCCATCTCTGCCTCTGCCTTTGCCTGTTTTGGTAGGGAGGACATTCACTTGTGTGCCTCCCTTTTTTTGTTGTTTAATATTATACTGTAAACATGTTGTTCATAATTCATATACTTACAATTTATTAAGAAATCCTGTTAATAGATACAATGTTTTTTTCTAAGTTTGTCCTAGTAGATATGATTATTCTTGTACATAACTATTTGTTTACATGATGGATTCTGATACCAATTTCTGGAAGTAGAATCAACAAGTAAAAATGAATGAGTATTTCTAAAGCTCTTGGTACAGATTACCAAGTGCCCTCCAGAAAGGCTCTGCTAATTATGCCCCAGCAGCATCAAATGAGTGCTTTACGCCACTCCACACCCTTGCTAGCAATAAACATGGTTGTTTAATTAATTGTTGATATTTTGTGGGTTAGAAATAAACTCATAGCTTTAATTTTTTTTTTTTTTTTTTTTTTTTTGAGGCGGAGTTTCGCTCTGTCGCCCAGGCTGGAGTGCAGTGGCCGGATCTCAGCTCAATGCAAGCTCCGCCTCCCGGGTTCACGCCATTCTCCTGCCTCAGCCTCCCGAGTAGCTGGGACTACAGGCGCCCGCCACCTCGCCCGGCTAGATTTTTGTATTTTTTAGTAGAGACGGGGTTTCACCGGGTTAGCCAGGATGGTCTCGATCTCCTGACCTCGTGATCCGCCCGTCTCGGCCTCCCAAAGTGCTGGGATTACAGGCTTGAGCCACCGCGCCCGGCCAGCTTTAATTTTTATTACTTTGATTTACAATTTAAAATGTTTTGGTCCATTTATGTTGCTCATGTAAATTTTTTTAAGGTGTTATTGTCTCTTTTTTCCACTGGCATATTAGCATTTTTGTTACTGATTTTAAATGTCCTTTATACATTAATTACATTGCATCTGTAATTTTTATATAGTCACACTGTAAAAACACTTTTGTTTAGCCTATGTTATTTCAGTTACAAAAATAGCAACACAAATGGTATCCTCAGAACCCTTCGTAGCCTTATCCCCACCTCACCTCACTTCCTAAACAGAACTTCTGGTGGAGGACCATTCTTCTATTAAATGATCTCTCTCAACTCCTCCCAGATGGTTAGAAGTCCTCTGTCTCATGGAGTGGCACCATTTCCATATGGCTTCCCTCCAGTTTTTCTCCATAGGAAACCAGAATGATTTTTGTGTGTGTGTTTTTGTTGTTGTTGTTGTTTTATTTTTTGTTTTTAATGTATTGTAAATGTATCAATGGCTTCCTGGTGTAATCAGAATAAATTCCCAGCTCCTCCAAATGGTCTGCGTGGCCTTCTCCAAGGTCCGGCATTGCATTTCTCTCCCTCCTCATCTTGCACGTGCTTTCTCCTGGCTCACGAAACTCCAGACTTGCAAGCCTCCATCCCATGCTCTGGCTTGCTCTTGAGATCCTTCCTCCTTCAGAACACCACATCCACGCCACTATGCCAGAGCAGCCTTTGCTGACCTCCCAGTCTGTTATTCTTTCTCACAAATCTAGCTGCTTCTCATGCTGGGCACTGCTTACAAACTGTAAACATTTTATGATTGTCTAGTTAACAAGTACCTCTCTTACTAAAATGGCATCTTCAGACACCACTTGTTTTCTTTCTTTCTTTTTTTTGTTTTTGCCAGTGTGTGTCCAGTGGGAAGGATGGAGGGAAACAAGGGAGAGGATTCCACTGCCTTCTCAACTCACTTCTACTCACCTTGCAGTTAGCAGAGAGATTGCCAGTGTTAGCTTTGGTAAGGGTGATCTTGCCCAACCTCAGGTTAAAGAGGACTTTGTAAGGGCAGTGACATCTGGTCCGGGCTGAGTCTCACAGGATGAGGCAGAGATTGGCAAATGCACTCTAGACAGAGACAGCATATGTGTCGTGGCTACAACAACATGGCACATTTGAGAAAACCACAGGACAAGGCCTACCTTCTGAAGAAATTATTCTCCCTTCTTCACCCTGCCATCATCCTGCCACAAACCCAGTCTCTTTGCCCATCCTTTGCATTATGTCAAAAATTATACACGTAGGTGCTCAGTAAATACTGGATGACATACGAATGAATGATTCATGACATCCCTCAGTTACAGCAATTTGCTTCTCCTAGAATATCCTTTTTCTCTCTCTCAGTCTGCATTCCATCAAGACCTGGCTGGAGACCCACCTTCTTAAAGCTCTTATTATCCGAGAGCAACGCAACGCAAATGAGCTGCACGTATTCTGAGTTTCATCTTTCAACGTTCTAGACTCGTTTAATATTTTCTGTCTAATCTTGTCTTCCTAATTAAACATAATGTCCTCAAAGGCAGGGATTGATCTCCTTCTCCTCATCTTTCACGTCTTTTATAATTTTTTTTTTTTGGTAAACTCAAATATGCCAAATCCATATATACCATCTTAGAGAGTAAAAGTTTAACTTCTATGAAAGAAAGGGAAGAAGAAAGGGAGGGAGGGGGAGAGGGAGTTTGCCTTGCTTGCTCTTGAGCTCCTTCCTCCTTCAGAACACCACATTCGGCCACTAGGCCAGAGCGGCCTTTGCTGACCTCCTAGTCTGTTATTCTTTCTCACGAATCTAGTTGCCTCCCTCTCCCCCTCCCTCCCTTCTTTCCTTCATTCATTTTAGTCTTAATATAAAAACTTAATATGTAAAGTCCCCCACCCCATTTTTACAATCTTTTTAAAATTTAAAATTTCCTGAAACAAATTTGAATAAACAAGATTTTACTCAAAGGCTTCAAATCTTCAGCAAAAGATAGTATACCAGTGCTTCATACTTTGTAACCAAAGGCATTACTTTGCAACCTTTTCTTTTCTTAAACAAATAAGATACTGTGATTCCTTTTGATGCAATGTAGCAAACCAGACACAAATAGCAACAACTACTTTTCAGACACAAAGAGACATCACTGTTAATTCTACCTTAATGCAGATGGGCCTGGACTTACGAAAGGGCTACTTCCTGATAAACCCATCTGAACCAGATAAACCCATCACAAACTCAAAAAATTTTAAGTCGACCTATTGTAAATCAGGGAGCATGTTTTTCTGTATCCTAATGAGCCCTCAAATCCATTTTCTTTAAATGTCCATCCCCACCCTGTGGGCCAGTCTGCCATCCCTTGCAAACACTTTCAGTTGGACTTCCTTCATCTACTCTTACCCTTCTCAGTACTTTCCTATAAAGCCAGCCAGGAAGAGCCAATCTGCTCATGGCATTTCCTCCTTAAAAATCTCTTGGTGGCTGCCTTGCTTATAGGGTAAGGACCAAAATCCTTAATAGCACCTACCTTGGCATGTTCCAGTTCCCAACCACCTCACCAGCTTCGTTTCACACCAAGTACTCTCATTCTCTGGGCTTTGGCCACATAGCCCTGACTTCAATTGGTCACCTTATTTCCTCTAGCTACTGGGTCTCTATTTACGCTTTGTTCCTCAGCTCAAAAGCTATTTGTTTCCTAGGGAAGCCATCTTTGATCCATACAACATAACATTGCACACACACTCAGCACAACATGCTTTATCTTCACAGCACTTATTACTTTGCAACTATGTATTTGTTCATATAATTATCCATATGTTTGCCTTTCCAACCAGTCTAAAAACTCCCTTAAAAAGGCACTGTGTGTTTTGTTCAGCATTATATATCCCTAGTGCCTACAAGATTCTGGACTATAGGAGGCTTATTTAATCCACATTTGACAAACAAATGCCATCTGCATTTTATATATATACATATTTAAAGCTACCCTAGCCAAAATTCTGATAAACTGAATTTTACGGACAAGGGAAATTAAGTAGGGTATTCCTCTTCAGATAAAAAGATGACAAATTAGCCCAAATTTACTCATACATTTATTTGCTGCAGGTCTACATAAATTGCTTATAATTAGTTACATTTCTCCCAAAACAATTGAAAACAATTCAATGAGCTTCACTTAAATGATTTGGGGCTTTTCATGGGCTTTTGCTTTGCAAATAGCATACTTCATTTTTACAAATGAAGAAAGAGCCTTAATATTCAAAACTCCTCAAACTTAGGAGGGGAGATAAATTGGGATAAAAAGCAAGGAAAGACACAATATTTTAGTTTGTAAAATTGGTTTATTTACAAATTGGTATTTTAAAATTGTATTTGAAATTTTTATTTTTATATATTTCCCTGGCAGGCATTCTATATTTTCTTAAATATGGAGGCAAAGGATAGGAAACCTGAGTAAATTTAAGAGATTTACCTGCTGCTACAGTTGGTAAAATTTAACTTTTAATCCCTGAGAAACAGTAAAGTGTCAAAAATAGTATTTTCATACTTTCAAATATAAAAAAAAAAATTTAGCAACACAGAAAATAAGGAAGCTACTATAACTAGCCTCTCCACAAATAACAGTGAGAAGTCACTCCCTTACAAATTAACTGAGGGTGTGTGCACATGCATTAAGTTATGAGGTGCACTTAAGAGACTATGATGCTCTAGTCCTCAACTTTTCAGTTTGTCCCATTTGAAAAATATTCCTGGAAACTGGTATGTAACTTAAATAATAGAAATGCCCATTGCTAGCTCAACTTCCCCCGCTTTCTAAACTTTTGTGTGTTATGTATGGTTATGGATTTTCCCTTACTGTACAAGATCAAAATTATCTGATTACAACCTAAGCCTCAAACTGCAATGTTTCTGTAAAGTCACTTTGGAGCAAGTCACTTCAGTTTCCTCAAATATCAAATGAGGATAATTATAGCTCATAGGGATGTATAAGGATAAACTGATGTTCATGCAACACCATGAAATCTCCAAGGAGCTTTCTATGTAAGGGGTAATGCTCTCTGGAACATGTGATACAATCATAATATATTCCTGCTGCTCCTTATTATAGATGACTTAACACTCCTAAAATGTCAGCTTTCTTCAGAAGAATAAATATTAACTCATTAGTTTCCTCATTAAGCTTCCTTGAGACACATGGGAATGGCAATTATGCCCCCACCCCATATATATATGAAATGTACCACAGATATTAAGGATGTGACCATAGCAAAATAGTAAGTCAAAGTCAAACGAAGTAAGGAAACAAACCAAAGACTTTGCAGTAAGATGCAATCTTCTCATGTATGTGCAACACACTGGCAGTCATTTTTCATTTTAGACAGTGTTAAGTATTACTAATGACAAGTGTTTATTTGCCTAATAACCCAAAGGAAATGTACTTCAAACTTAAGAAAAAAAAGAAAGTCACAAATAAATACCTTCCTCAAATCCCTCTTAATGCTCTTTTCAAAACAGAAAGTAGTCAAATCAATTTCCCCTTCTAACAGACCAATACCAATGTCAGCTAGGGACATTTTCTAGAGCTAGTCTGAAGGCAACTTTGAAGTTCCAAGAATATTTCTTTGTGTAGCTGTTGATTCCAAAAGGGATAGGATTGTAGAGACTCAAACAGAATAGTATATTGATCAATTTTAAAAAGAGCTTTTGAAAGATCTGCTAAAAGGAAAGGGAATGAGTAGGAATTATAATCTCCTGAGTCAGTCAGTCAGTCAGTCAGTCAGTCAGTCGGTCAGTCAGATCTGGACAAGAAATTTTAAATTTACATTGCCACTTTAGCACCAATTTTCAATTTTGTACATAATGCACATCTCTTAACACTTACATTTCTAAATATACTGGATTTTGGGATTAGTTTCCTGGTTAGATTTTTTGCACTGGGTGTGAACTTTAAGAAGCAAGATTAGCAGTAACGAAAATCTATGGCCCAGGCTGTGACGAGACAATTGGGAACTCTTACAGCATTCCCTTGTTTAAGTATATCCCAGTATTGATGCAGGAAGCCACACTAAGTTAATTCCTTGGCTGTTGGTAACAGAAGGAAAATAAATAAAAATGTGAGGTAGTTCTTTCCACAAGAGGGAAATATTTGACTACACAATATCCCTGCAATGTCTGACAAATTACTAGAGCATCTGCTTGCTGTCATCTGTAAGTAAACTCTTAGCTTGGTATTAACTGAACCTGACAAATCATGAGCTAGTTGCAGTTCCTAGGCCTTATTTTCTGAGCCAACCAAGGCAGGAGACACTACAACACAAAAAAATATGAACCACAGAGACCACCAAGTACAAAAACTGCAAACTCATAAGCATTAAAAAACACTGGGTGGAGCTGGTTAGAACACATTAGAATAATTTACCAGAACTTGTGCACAGAAAAGAATGAAGACTGGTGGGGAATAATTGACAGGCTCTGTTCCCCCAGCTTAACTATCATCGTGAAGTTTAAAAGACATGAAGCTCTAGCATAACACAGCAGAGGCTATATATAAAAAAGTTAACATAAAAATCTTAAAGGTAAAGGAATAGAATATCCTAGGAAAAGCAAGAGCTACTTACTAAAACCTTTGTCTTTCCACTTGGAATCTGCATACTTATATTGAACTAATAAAGTACTCCTATCAACAAACTAGTAGAATGAATTATTTTAATTTCTCAAGACACTGATAAAGAGCTATCCATTTTGCATTCTAAACCTTCTCCAGGCTAATTGACAAAGGATAATACCAGAAATAGATCAGGAGTTAAATTATAGTTAGAAAGGGGAGAAAAGTAAGGTAGGACATTAAAATTTTATTCTGAAATTATCTCTGGCCACAACAATAAAATTTAACAAATATTCACTAAACAGTCTTACTCCTGTCATCAGCTGTACAATACATACAGTATCATAGAACTGGCCACTAGGATTAAAATCCACTAGAACATATTTAATGTTAAGTGGCGACAGCAGCATCTCACAGAAATTTTTACATACATATATACACAGTCCACATTCAACCATTTTCACATATTTTCAGTACACACAGTTGCAGCATATTACAGTCACATGTCTAAGTTGTTGCTCGATAAAAACCCAAGCCACTGCCTAGACATAACTGTAGCAGTTGAGCTGAGTATAATTACAATTAATTTTATATATGTCCATAGCAGAGAGATGTACAAGCCCCTAAGAAACAGAGTTCACAAATACTTTTTTTAAATGCTATTACAGCATTATGTTGGGCAATATTAAAACCTTTACCGAGACCAGATCAGTTTTTTTAAAAAGTCTTCTGCTTACCAGAAATATTTTTGATGAAAAAAATTACAAAAATGAATGCTCTCCTTAAAATAATTCACACTTTAGGATTCCAATATGGCCCAATGCTACTGATGCCTAAAGTGTTTTCTAACATTCTGATGGAGTCGTTTAACACGACCCCAAACCACCCATTAAGTTTAAAAGTGGCTTAAGTGCCTTGCACCCAAATTGTAAAAATCCCTGGCCATCCTTACTAGAGCCAGGCACATATAAAAGGAATGCACTTTGGTTCATACCAAATGCCCTGGGATTAATCACACTATAAAATTAAATGGTTTGAGGTAAATTTTTACAAATACAGTTGATTTTTGTCTAGTGTTAGCATAACAAAAAAAAATGTAAAAATCAGTCTGATGTTAAGATACAACAAAGACCATCTTTAACCGCTTAAACATAGGAAGTCCCTGTGTAACACTACCTGATGGTTATCTTTTTTCAGTGCCTGAAGATGAGTCATGCCTTACGGTTTTCATTAAGGCCTGTAACTAGATATTTAAGACAGATGTAGTTTTGCAGAGATGGGTTCCATCCTTACTGACTAGTATTCAATGAGTTAAAGAGGCCAAAAAATGCATGCCCTACAATATGGCATTCAGAACAAAAGGCACATTGTTAACACTAAGGGCACAATTTCTCCTCTACTGTTAATCTACAATGTCTTGCACCACTGTTGTTCCACTGCTGGAGCAATATATTTAAGTGGTAATGAACACAGTGGCGGTGCAAGAAACAGAGCCAAATGAGACTGCCAAAGACAAGACAACACTGTGCTATTCCTAAAACTGAAAACAGCGCCGACATCCCTAGACAATGGTAACCTGTGAGACCAAAAACTGCTTCCAAGCCAACTCTTAATAGCCTATCAGAGCCCTTCATTAGTTTGTTTTAAAATCACAAAGATGCAACATTTTTCTTTTTTTGACATGACAATCAAACTAGAATTTTATTAAAGCAGCTCTATCACTAAATGCTGAAATGTGGCAGCTCTTGTGAATAAAAAAATTTCACTGTATTTGGAAAAAAAAAAAAGAAAGCCCCACAGTGCTGCACATTATAGTTTGGTATAAAAGTTTCCGGTTTCCACTGAGAAATAAAGGTAGTCCCAAACTCAATGTTGGCATCTTAAGAACCAGTTTTGTGAGGTGGGGGAAAGACAAGCAGTATTAGTCCATTTATAAATTTTCACATGTATCATCATTTTATACGGAAATTAATAACGGCAGACTCAGGTTTGTATATTTAAACGTAAATGTGAAGATAACTGGAAATGGAAGAGGAGCATTCGAAGAGGAAAACAGCATTATGTTTTTATTGATTTAATGTCCTAAAGAAGCTAACCATCATTGAGGCTGGTGGTCTTACAAAGCCACCAAACCAAGTCTTATACTTCTTATGCCTTTAAGCCAAAATCTAGTACACAGATCCTTAAATTCTATACGCCATTGATTGGGAGTATTGTCACGTGAGCATTATTTAAAATGTAACTAACGTATTATTGCACTTCCACAGATTACACAGAAATGTGTATAATATGCTGAGAATTTGACTAAGGGAAAAGAAGCTATAATTTCTAAACACAGAAGTACAAATTAATTTATCAGTGACACCTTAAATAGTAAAGCAAATATCTATCACTATTTTAATAAGCTAAACTTATTACTGGTTTTTTGGCAAATATCTGAAATATTTCCTGAGCATTTTTGTCCACCATCAACCAACGAAGCCTAAAGTGTTTTTTTCAAAACTTTTTTTTTTTTTTTTTTTAAGATAAAACTGTAGGATTATTATTAAAGAACTTAACCGGAAACTTTCTTGGCCTCACTGGGGACTATGCTTTTAAGTACTTGTAAGTCAATTTACAGGTAATACAATAATCTCTGTGCATATATAAGCTTACTTATCCTACTTTGTACAACCCAAAACCTATCGTCCAAACAGGCAGAAATCTTTCTATATTAAATTGCACATACTAAAAAATTTGTTTCACGTGCCTTGAAATTCATATACATCATTGCTCATACATTAGTGATAAAATACTGAAAATTTTCACTGTGAAAATAATTATTATTCAGAGAAGAAAATATTCTTTTACCAAACTCTCAGTTACTTTGCCAGATAAAGTGTCATTCCCACAAAAATAATCAGTGCAATCCAAAAGAAAGTAAAATAAAATAGAGGAATGCTATCTCTGGGGTTCTTCTAATGATATGAAGAATAAGTCAAACCATTTAACTTGAGGTTGAACTTTTCCTCCTCTACACATGTTGTTAACATTGGCCTCACTGAACAGCCAAAGAGACTTCTGTTCGTCAAGAGGATTTTCAACCTTTTTTCTTTTTAAAGAAAAAGTTGATAGTTTCCCAGGCTAAGAGAATCTTATAGTGGCACCTGAAAAGTGTGAACTCACTCTAATCTGCTAAATCTTCTTTGGAACTATGGAAATCCCCACCTTAAGTAGCTAGGCTGCTGTTCTTTTTTTAATTGGAATATGAAACAATGGTCTTAATCACAGCTGAAATGTCTCTTTTCTGTATTAACAGTCTGGGATACGCAGTTGAAGGAAGAAGACAAACTAAATGCAAGCAACAGATGTGTGGTATTAAAAGAGGAATAGAGGGGAAAAATGCAGAGAAAAGGGAGGAACAGTTCATGGAATACAATTCTAAATTTAGGTGCAAAAGCAACTCTGTAATATGAGGCTTCTTTACAAAACAGCTTGCCGATCATACTAGAAAATTTGGAGGAACACACACGTTTCCATTTCCATTTATCCACTAAAAGCTGCTTTGCCAGTTTTTAGAATGTCAGAATGCTAACTGGGCAGTTTAAACCTTGGGGATCTTATTTTGTATTTGTTTCAGCACTAGAGAAAAATCTGTAAGGTACAGTTTTTCTTAGGATATCACTTTCATTCTGACCGTTCTCCTCCCACTACCCCACCACCCAAATTTATGAAAAACGGAAGCAGGACATGCTACACCTGTGCATGGACCTGGAGCATGGAGGGAAAAGGAGGGCCTTACGGGGCTGTCACCCTGGGGAGGATATAACATGAACCATAAAAACATAGTGAATGTCTTTGACACCAATCTGTAAATGCGTGGCAGTCATGAAGTAATCAATGGCCTGCCACTGATGTTGTTATTCTGCCACACTAAATACAGTAAGGCTCATTGTACTTTTAGAACACAAAAAGTTTCCGAAAGTATAAAAACTTAAAGCATTGTCCTCATGTATTTTATAAAAACAAAATGAACAACTTTCTTACATTAAAATTAAGTGCTGAAAAGATACAAATGAGTAGAGTTATTGAGCAAATAAAAACAGGTCTGAGCTACTCCTTTTCAACCCAATAAGGCTCAGCAAAGTTGTATCTTTCAGATTACCAGCATCAGGGGACATGAGCTCAGCTAACGAGTTTTGGCAACACTGTCCTCTGCTGAATATTCCCGTTGGCATCTGTCATCTGCGCCAAATTAGTCCTCAGTTTGGAAGCTGAGCTGGAAGGTGGAGGTAACTTGGATATAGATGTGATAGCACCGGTGCTCTCAGTTATCCTTTTCACTGACGTTTTCTCCCCGGTGGGAGGCTTTGGCAATCGCCTCCTCAGCCAGGGGTGCCGCAAAGCCTGGCCTGGGGTCATGCGCACTGCAGGATCCCACTCTAAACACTGTTTTAAGAAGTCAAGGAAAAGGGGATCGTCACACCCCTTCAGCGCGTTCCCCCACTCTCTGCTCTCCGGTGGGCCCCTCAGTTTCCCCCTCCGGGAACGGCCTCCATTGAGGACCACAGAGCCATCTGAGAGAGTCGTGACAGTGCAGTAACGGGGGTAACCCTTGGAGCTCACAAAATTTTTGGCTCGTTTGGACGCATCCAGCAGTTTCTGCGAGGGCATGCCCAACAGTTCAATCATACAGGCCAGCTGGTCCCCTTCATCCTCCCCAGGCAAGAGGGGGTAACCCGTCAGGAGCTCTGCTAAAATGCAGCCCAGGCTCCACATGTCAATGGGCATACCATACCTGGCCCCAAGGATCACTTCGGGAGCCCGGTAAAAACGCGACTGGATGTACGTGTAGACACGCTGATGCTCGTAACAACTGGAGCCAAAATCAATCACTTTAATACCGCTTCTACCCTGCTGCTTTAACAAAATGTTCTCGGGCTTAAGGTCACAGTGAATTATTCTGTTTTTGTGCAAAGCATCCAAGCACTGCAGAATCGAGTGGGCAAACTTGCGAACCAAAGGCAGGCTGAAGCCCTGGAATTTATTCTTCTTGATGAGCTCATAGAGGTTCATGCTCAGCAGCTCAAACGTCATGCAGATGTGGTTGCGGAAGGTGAAATTCTCCAGCATATGGATGACATTCATTGTGTTATCCTTGTCCTGCTTCCGCAGGTGTTCCAGGATTCGGATCTCCTCTGCTGCTTGCCTGTGGAAGCGCTTCTCATTCCGCACCATCTTTAGGGCTACGTGCTGGTGGACTTTGTGATCGTACGCCTTGACCACCTGCCCAAAGCTCCCCTTCCCAATGACCTTGAGGACCTCGTACCTGTAAGCCACGTGATCATGGGGCACCTGCACATATGATCCCTGGTCATCATCATAGCCACCATTGTTGGGCCCACCTGTCATGCCCTGGCGCTTCTTAGCATTTAGACCCAAGAAATATATTTCAGGGTAGCTGAAAATCTCATGGTGTTCAAAGGCTGTGAGTTTTTGCATGTATTGCTTCATTGCTTGTTCAGGTGTCATGGGGGTGGCTTTCACCTTCCCCATGCCTTCCATGGACTTCAGAGAGGTGGAGCTCCCCTGCCGTCTATGAATGCTGTCCAGCTGCCGCTCTGGCACCACTGGCAAGCCCGTTTTGCCCACTGTTGTAAGCCCATTTGGTTGTGTCGTGAGCACTGTCCGCTTGTTACTGTTATCCTCAAACAGCTGTTGAACCTGGATCTGTCCATGAGGGTGGCTGCCGACATGCAAGTGATCATTCATTGTGTGCTTACTGCCGCCAATCTGGAATTCAGACAGGAAATATAAATAGAAAAGAAGTGGTGTCTGTTCAAATGGGGTATAATTAACCCCCATCAACAACCACCCCGTCCACCCCACCTTTACAAAATCCCATTTGGATTGAGTAAAGGCCACAAAACATGTGATCCTGAAAAACGGACCTCATAAATGCCATGCCTAACAGACACGATGGTTTGCTGTACATATTCAGGGTTCCCCACGGAGGCAGAGACCATAACTTTATCATTTTATATCTAACACTTAGTATAGGGCCTGGCACATCATAGATGTTCCCCTCAATCCACACTTGATATAAAAATGAAACAGGATACAGAAAAAACATGCACACATAAGACTCTATGTTGGCTCCTCCACCCCCAGATTACAGCACCTTTCATATTTCATCTAATAGTTTATTAACATGAGGACAGGGACCATGTCTGTCTTGTTCACTACTCTTTCCCTAATACCTAGAGCTCTATCCTGAAAACACTTCATCACCAGTACTTCCCCTTTCCTTCCATGATCCAGTGACAAAAACAAAAGCCCTGTGTTTTAGGCTTGAAAGATTCCCATGTAGATATGCGCCAGTGTCTTACAAACCCCGAACCTATTTTTAAAAGTTCCCAGGCTTTACTAACTGTAATAACCATTTAAGGCATTCAGCCCAACAAACCAAGCAACGACCACACTGTTTGGCCTTCCTCCAGAGGGGTCAGGGGCTCAGCTCTCTGAAGATGTCCATTTCTACAAGCTGCTGGGATACTCGAGGTTTCCAAACAGGAATCCAAAGAAGCAACCTCTTGTTTCAGGTACACATGCCATCCCTGAGCATTTCTGTCTAAACTCTACCAATGGTGTGAGCCAAGGGGCCCCAGCCCTCTACTGACAATCTTCTTGGGATTTCCTTTAAGCATTATGACTGCTGAGAGGTAATGGGTAGGAGAGGACTGGCAGCCAGGATCCTCTCCCAGTTAGGAATTCCTGCCTTGGACAACCCCAAGTCTTAAAGCAGCCTGGGAGGTGATTTTTGTATGAAATCTTACATCAACTTGTCATCACAATCCACCTCATTCATTCAACTGGTGTTAACAGAAGGCTGGCTGCCAAAGTGACAGAGTCCCTGCCCTCCAGGAGCTTACAACTAACTAGATGAAGTCTGTTGCCATCAGTATTTTTTCTATTATCTCCTTTTAAATCCTACTTTTAGGGCTTTACATACTACTGAAAGAGCAGAAGGGCTGTGTATATGTAACATAGTAATTCAAAAAATGATTTGGGAACACCTGGATTATAAAATGAACTTCTAACTCCTTCTTACTAACAGACTAAGATGTTCACATTTTCTTTATTGGATACATAATATGCACAATGACTGTGTGGAGAGTGAGCTTCCTCTCTGCCCACTTCTAACTAAAACAAAACAGAAGACAATACTTGGGGCCTGTCTGACTGTGACTTCATATAGGCTCAGGGATATCATTTCTCGGACTTATAACTGAGCTTTTTTATTAAACTCATAGATGATACTCCGTGCTAGCTGATCTTATATTCAGTAAGAGTAGCTAGAAAGGTTATTTTACCCTTGTTCTATGCCAAAAGCAGGGCAGTCCATAAAAATGAATCAGGCAAGTCTTGGGCATATATACAAGAGGTACAGGCTTGTCCAGTGCTTTTCTTCCCCAGCCTCGCTCTCTGCACCCTCTCCTGTCCACTGCGGTCTTTCAAACACTAGGGAATAAAGGGGCCTGAATCAAAATATCTCTCTCCTAAAGAACCATTATCTTCAGAGTGGAGTGGTGATATTTCAGAAGAAAAATCCACATTACCTGTATACATGCTATTAAAAAGCACAAAGCTGCTTCATTAGGACAAAATTAACCTTGGGGCTTTAGAGATTTCTAAAAACACAGCAAAGTAAAACCAAGCCTCTAAAATTTACTTTAAGCAATTTTTGTGTTTCGCATAATTTAATACATGCTCACAAATGTTTTAGTAACTAAAACTAACGAGGCTGCCAAGAAACGACCATCTTCTATATCTCCAAATGCCTTCTCTTGGTCTCCTTTGCAGCATCAACTACTGGTTCACCTAACCTTAGGTGGGTTCAAGAGTTACCCGGGGTTCAAGCCTCGATTTTCGTGGCTTCTTACTCCCATAAGCCCCTGCAACTGATCCTGAACACAGCCAGGGCTTCAGCAACTGCCCATGGCCTGAGGTTTGCACATTTGTTCCTTGAGCTCAGACCTGCCAAGGTGCTATCTCCTGAGTGCAAGACACACATATCCAACTATCAATCAGTTCCCTCTCCCATAAGCAACTCAAACTTAACTCATTATTTTTCTACCGAACTGGTTTCCCACTCCCATAATCCTCCATTTTTGATCAACAGAAGGCTTCCCCTCCATGTAGTCAGTCACTCAGGCTATCCACCTGCAAATGAATCCTCAGCACCGTGCGCCTGGAAAACCTCTCAACACCTCTCTCACCTAAGATGCATCATTACTATGCCATGCCCTTTCCATCAACACTGCCTTATCTCACTCTCCTGATGTCTTTCACTGGGACAACTGAGGCAGCATCCTAAGTCTAGAATTCTAAGTCTAGAATTCCTCAAATCTCTTCTCCATAGTGCTTCTAGAGTTAACCATTTAAAAATCTCAACCTGAGACCACTCTTGCTTTTTGCCCAAGGCCCATGGCTGTAACCTATTTCCATAGCTAATGCAAGAACTTATAAGTAAGAACACAAGGCTCTAAAATTTAGAGGCTAAATGATCTGAGTGCTTCCATTCTCATCAACTACTGTCACTCTTCTCTCCAAGAGGAACAAAGCTAGATAGCCCAGGACCCAAAAAACACCACGCACTTTTACACTCCTCTGCTTTTAGTGAGGTCACGTTTCATAATGGTAGATTTTCAGTTAGACACACATTAAATGATCCAGCTCCACCATTTACTAAATGTGTGACCCAGGGCAATTTATTTCATCTCTGTTAACCTCAGTGCCCTTGTCTGCAAAAACAAGGAAACAAACTTACCTCATTAGGGCTATTAGGGGGATTAAATAAGGTAGTATGTGTAAAGTGCTTAGTAGTCAGTCAATGAGAGCATTATTATTGCCCCTTCCAGATGTTTCTTGGAATCTCCTTTCTCATACCTAGGTGATTCACCCTTCAATGCATGGTTCAACTCTCACCGCCTGTGTAAACCTTCCCTGACCTACTCAACAGCTACTTCTCTACTCGGAGAGTATTAATCTAACACTTATTTCTCTTTACTGCAATTGTTTTAACATCAGATGTACTCATTTGGCTGTCAGCAATTCCAGGGCTGGGTCCCCTCTTATGTTTTTAAGTCCTCATTAACATAAACCCAGGCATATAGTAAGAGCTCAATAAGTATCTTTGGGATGGAGGAACACATGTCAATAGATCCTCCTTATTATAACACTCTTGCCTCTCTTGGAGTTGTTCCTGAGAACTACATTGTGTACCTTCATAAGGAAACATGAAGTCAATGCCCAGGGAATTGAGAAATGTCCCTGGTGACCTAAGTCACAAGACGTTAGGCTTGCAGTGCATCAGCACAGACTTGGAGGCAAAGGACCTCCAAGCATAAAGTACCTGTAGCAGACACATCAATCGAACCATGTATAAACACTTGTAGCAAACACATCAACCAAACACCTAAAAGCAACACATGCAATCTTAAAAGCTTTCCAGATGTTAGAGATTCATTTTAGAAGCTCTAGCAAAAGACGACTTTGAATCTCAAATATTGCAGGACTCTAAAATCACAATCAAGCTCGAAACAACAATTAACTGACTTATAAAAAGTGGGGCAGAGAGCAGGGCTGGGGTGCTGAGGGACTACAAACACCAGAACATTTCCAGAATGCATGTCAAGACTACATCATAAACTTAAGGATATTAAAAACCTCTCTCTCCAGCTCAGCCTCTTGAAGTCTGAGATCATGGCTTATTCTGATATGTCAATGTATAGCACAGTGTGTGTCACATTTAAAAATACATACTGAGGCCGGGTGCAGTGGCTCACACCCGTATCCCAGCACTTCGGGAGACTGAGGCGGGTGGATCATTTGAGGTCAGGAGTTCATAACCAACCTGGCCAACATCGTGAAACCTCATCTCTATTGAAAACACAAAAATTAGCCAGGCATGGTGGTGGGCGCCTGTAACCCCAGCTACTTGGGTGGCTAAGGCAAGAGAATCGCTGGAACCCTGGAGGTGGAGGTTGCAGGGAGCCGAGATGGAGCCACTGCACTCCAGCCTGGGCAATAGAGTGAGACTCCGTCTCAAAAAAACAAAACAAAGCAAAACAAAAAACAAAAAAAAACATAATGAATGCAATTGTTAAAACAGCTACAGTTTATGGGTTCAAATCGAGAGACCTGCAAAGGCTTCTCTGATCATGAAGTACTTTGGTACTAAATATTATATAAAAACAACAGTCTAACCAGTTTCATAGTTTTCATTTCTTCCAATAAGAAAATGGCAAAGAGCAGATATTTCACTGTGATAATAGTTTTGGGCATTTAAAAACTTTTCTGAAGTCATCTTAGAAATGCTGTATAGTATTATGGTAATAGAACTCAGTCCAAAAAGACTGGAATTTCAGCTCCTCCTCAAACATTCTGACAGTCTGTGTGGCCCTAAGTAAAGTGTCTACTTTTTTTTCAAAATACTGCCATTTTTTAAATGTGTATTTTAATTCGAATTATTTTGTAAAACTGATTAACTGGAGAGTGTTTTACATAGTAAAACAGTTATAAAAGTTACACATATTTTAATATTTTTGAATTTAAAATACTTCTATTAATAACTGCCAATTAACATTAATAGAAAAATAAAGGAAGTAACAGGCACACTTCTCTCTCTCACAGAAACAGAAATAAATAACTAAAGTGTAAAACAACTTATGCATGGAGATGTAAAACAAGAGGGCAATGGACTAGATAAATTCCAAAGCTTATAATCTTTATAATCATATATTTGACCTGCCTAGTGTATCACCTGTAAGAGAAAACGTGGGCAAGCTCCTATGACAAGATCATTTTTATCTCCTTAATGCCCTCCCCACCCACCATTCATTCTAGAAGTTCTTCCTAGGTGTAATTACTCTGGAAATAATAACCAAAAATTTATAAAAATCTGACAGACATATGAAAATATGGATCTAGAAAGGTTCTTACATTTATAATGAGGCTAGTACAATTTCCTACAATTAGCAGTCTCCATCAGTATATTAAAACTAGATGCAGGAGGGTGCAGACTTTCACTCCGGCCTTGATATGAACTGGCTGGGGAATCTTGATGAAACCAGTTACCTTGTCTGAGTCTGTTTCCTCATCTATAAATTGAAAGAGTAGAAACAGATAAACTCTGTGGTCCTTTTAACCTTTCCTGTACTATGAAATCTACGATGTTATAGAAATAAAATCAAAACTAAACCACTATCGAAACCCAAATTCACACCTTCAAAGTCAAGCATCTAATAATTAACAGCATACCGAAGTTCACACACACGTTAAAAACAAGTAAATCTGGCACACGTCACAGCAAAATACAGGCCTCCATTATGAGGAGTACTGAGAAGCACATTCACATCCTTCCTTTTCTGGTGCACCACAGGCTCTCCCTCCAGTGGAGACTTGTCGTTTTATCTACTTTCATTACATGTATTTCAATGGCAAAGAGGCTTTGATCAAGCAAAGCCCATCCTTACAAAATTGGAATCCACATGCAAACCAAATAGCTCTTTTTCCAGGTCACACCATGTCATGTGATTACATCAACACATAGAAAAAAAACTAGATATTACAGTTTCCAAATTGTCAGATGATCCCAAACAAAAAATCTAAAGCCCTAAAATCAATGGCAGTTCGTTACCTAAATTTTCACTGCAACAAGAACACTTAACAGTAATATACAGAATCATCCATCCTACTACCATCCACAGTCCAACACAGATGAGTTAACTTCTGTGCAATGAATTCCCAGCCCCTGGGACCAGATGTGTCAGGACAGACAGACAGACAGAGGGAGGGGGAAGACAGTAACAGCAACAAAACATTTTCCTACGAAACTTGCACACGTCTCTCCAGGTCTAACAGGTGCAACTACGGTCTAGACATCCCCTCACAGTTCTCTGACAAACAAGTTTCCCCATATGTCCCCAGAGCTACTCCCCTGTAGGCCGGGGGATGGCCTTTTTTTCAAGAACTCAACTTTCACTTGGCAAATAAAACCAATTCCTGGCAAGCATCCCTCACACAGAACCATCTTAGGCTGTTCCTGTGGAAAATCCAACCGGGAAAAAAGGACCTCCAAACCATCACCTCCTCCAAGTGCAGATCTCCTCCAGGCTGGCCATCACCATCCAAGGGTGATCCCTGGGAGCTGAGAAAAGGTACACGCTGAAGTCGAATCCAGCTTGCCAGTCTCCACAGCCACCAGCAACCAGTACCACGCTGGCCTCTCCCCTCCCTCTGGGCCCTGAGAGACCACAGCACCTGTTAGGTGCTTTTTCCTTCCCACCTCCAAAGCAACGCTTGCCCTTTCCTTTTGAATAACGTCCAACTGCAGAATCCTACAGGGGTGGCTTGTTTTGACTGCTGCGGCGGCTCTTATTTTTGTTAATGTTAATTACAATTTCTGCTGTGCTCAAACCTGTAGCACTCATAAAACATGCTTACACACGCGGGGGACAATTGGCGATGCTCCCTGCTGGCTGGAGCCAGGCCTGGGAGGCTCTTTGGGGGATCGATTTTCCAGGCAGGCCGGTCTGGCTGTCCCCTAACACATATCTGTTTCTATAAATACCCACTACCCACGGGGAGGTGGGGGAAGGACAGAGATGTTTACCGGGTCAGGGAAAGGGAGCTCTGGGATGCAAGGACGAAAAATGAGGAAAGAAGGGAAGCAGCAAGGAGGAAGTTCCCAGGAAGAGGAGCTCATGGCTGGGCGGGCTCCGGAGGGGAAGTAAGGGGCCCACGCCACGAATCTTCCTTTGTGGCTGCAGCTTTGGGCTCGCCCAAGTTAACGAGGGCGGCGTCGAGGAGAGGCCACCGGCCCGGGGCGTGGGGCTTCTGGTATCTCGACCCCTCTTCTCCTGCCTTCAGAACCCTTCAAGTCCGGGTGCTTCTGCCTGGGGCCCCTCCCGCCCCCACCGCCCGGGCCGCCCGCGGGCTAGGTCTCACCGTGTGGGCTGCGGCGGCAGCGTTGCTGGCCCGGAGAGGCGGCAGGGCGATGGGGGAGGGCGGGCCAGTCCCCACTCCGCTCCGGGTGGCCCCCGCACCGAGCCCCGGGGAAGCCTGAAGCTGGCGAACGGCGCTGTCCCCACCTCGGCCTGGAAGCCACGTGCGGGAGGAGACAAAAGAGGGTCAGGGGGGAGAAAGTCACCCAGACTACCCCCCACCCCACTGGGCAGCGACACCCCTCTCCCAGGGAAAGACAGAGGAAGAGACCGGGGCAGTACAAACGGGCGTTCGGGTCACGGCTCCCCAGCGCACACCCACGGGCGGGGCGCGGGCAGCTGCAAAGTTAAGTCGGGCTCTGGCGCGCGAGTTCGCGACCCGGCGGGGAAGCCGGACCACGCCGGGGATTGGCGGCCCACGTTGCAGACTGCCAGCGGCCGGGAGGTGGGTTTGGACAGCTGAGCAGGGCACCACGGCCACGCCAAGCCCCGGGCAGAGAAGGGCGGGGCGGCAGGCCTGGACGGTCCCCGCCCGCGCCCCTGGCAGGCAGAAGCCTCTTCGGGCGGAGGACTCCCCTCGGAGGGGCCTTCGGCGCCGTGCGCAACCCTGCGCGGAGCTCGGGGCGCGCCGTCCGCCCGGGGGCTCCCCCGCGCCGCGCCGCCGACTTTGTTCGAGGTCCCGCAGGCAGCGGCCGCCCGCGCCACGGGGGCTGCCCTGGGTCGGCGGGGTTCCGGGGGGGGGCGGCGCGGGGACACGGCCTCCTTACCGGTCGGGAAGGCGGCGGGAGCGGCGGCCGAAGGTTTCCTGGTTAACATGGCCGCTGGAGAGGAAAATGCATTTCAGGGCTGCCGTCGCCGCCGCCGGTCCTGCTGCTACTTCTGGCGGCCGCCGCCGCCGCCGCCTCCCGGCCGCCCCTCGCGCGGGTCCCCGGCGCCTCGTCGCCGCCTCGCGTCTGCTACAGCCAGACACACACAGTCCACTGCATCCCCTCGGCCCGGGCCCGCCGCCGCGAGCCCCCCGCTCTCCTCCTCGCCGCCGTCCTCCTCTTCCTCGGGCGGCTGCAGCACCCTCCGGCCCGTGCACATGCCTCGCCCTCCCCTGCGCGCCGCGGGCCTCCCCGTCTCCCTCACATAGGGGCGCGGGGAGCTAGAAGCGCCGCGAGGACCGAGAACCGCCTAGCTCAGGAGGCTCTCCCGGGCCCGCGCGCGCGGCCCCGCGCACTCACACACAGGCGCCGGCGCGCGGCCCCGCCCCCGCCGCCTTCCACCGCCCTCCGCCGCCGCCGCAGGCCCCGCCCCCGGCACCCCCGGCCCTGGCCACGCACACCCCGCCCCCACCCAGCCTCCCGCCTGGCCTCTCTCCTCTCCCCGGGTCGCGCGCAGCAGCCCCTCCGTTCCCCGGAAAACTCGGCGGGCTCCGCTCGCCCTCCTCCGCCCCCTCCGGCCATCTGCACTGCTCCCCTCGGCTCCACTCCAGCGACCTTTTCCCCTCCCCGGCCTCTCCGGCCCCCGCGGAGCCCCTCCGCTGTCCTAACAGCTCAACCTACCGCTGCTGCCCTCCGGCCGAAAGCGCCGCAGAGACCCCTCCCCTGCCATGCCCACCCCTAAACATAAATGCATTTTCAGCTCTTCGAACTGAATGGCTGCTCACAGACAGTACTGCGTCTCCGTCCCCCCATTCTCAGTCGCGGCGACTCAGCCACTCCCCGCTCCCCAATTCCTCATGTAGATAACTTAGTTGTGCGAGGGTCACCTCGGAGAGTCAAGTCCCGGGAGGGGCCGCCGCTGAGCTCGTTGACCCTGAGCAGGGGCGAGAGAGGGGGCTGCCCTCCCACCTCCACTACACACACCCTCCCCGGTTTATTGACACTAAGTGACCGCTCGCCAGTCGCTAGGACAAGGGGAGGCAGAGAGGCGCGTGTGGACAGCAGCTGGGGAAGCAGTTGGCTGTGGGTTGCTAGGCAAAAATAAACATCAGAGACACCTCCTATTTCCTTACAACTCCGAGCCTTTCCCTGGCTCGGCCACTGGGAGAGACACACCTTCCTTTGAGCTCTGCGGTGAGGGAGCGACACCTCGAATTCCTCTCACCCCAACCCGACGCATCTCTTATAAACCCCTTCCTTTACAAGAAACTTGGAGAATTTCCCTGCCTTTTTTATTCGCCATCTACAACCTCTCTTTTCCTTGAAGACCAAAAAAAAAAAAAATTGCTTTCCCGTCTCACACCCACGCCTCGTCGTGCGTGGCACACGGTGCGCCTCTGTCCAAAGGTCACAGGTGTTGCCACTTCAGCCGTGAGAGCAGGTGGGGTGGAAAAGCCCGACAAATTCCGGATGACGGGGCAGAGTTATGCCATGCACTTCCTTTTCGAGAGGTGCCTAGTTTCTGAAGTTCTCTTGGGGTCAGGGGTCCATTATGCTCTGCCCCGCCCGAGTATCTCTGGCCCCTGGCTGGACCTACTGTGCAGGCCCGAACTAGTGCAGACTCTACTCGGAAGGGAGCCGCCACCTGCGGAGGTTCATCGCCTCTACTGTTTGCAAATTGTCATAGCAACCTCCCACAGAGCGCACCCGCAGCTTTATACAAACGCCAAACACTGTGTTTCAAGGTACAGTGTGACCTCTCAGAGTCTCTGGGACTCCTAAAGAGGCCTCCAAGTTAGGGACACTGGGAGAGGGAAACTGTGACAAAAAGAATTTTGCCTAGTATCACGTCCCTCCAAAGAAACAAAACAAAACAAAACCCTTTGGGGCCTTCTCCTAATAAAGTAGACCACAGTAAAATAATCCAATAATATGCCTTTAGACGAATCATGACCTGAACTGACCCTAGCAAGAAATATCCCCCTATGCTTGTCACTAGCGACTATCACATTTAAATCTACATGCGGAAGCATATTTAATATTTAGAATCGACTAAAAGGCAAGGGCTACTCAGTAGCAGAGATGACACTAGAACCGGTTTTCTGACTCCCAGTCTGATTTCACTGATTTGCGTCACACTACTTTCCTTATACTTTCAAGAAATCTCACACCTCTTTTCTTCTTTCAAAACACTTATTTTCATACCATTTTCCTTTTTAAAATGAGTATACAACTGATGTTCAAATAAAAAAAAGAAGCAAAAAAATCAATTTTAATATAATCCGACAGCCCTTTTTGCTTAAGTTATTCGTACAATACTTCAGTAGAAACTAAATATGCCACTGTTTTCTCATGAATAAAATAAATGCTAGTTACTGGAAGCCATAGTTTACAATTTCCAAATTAGTAATATTAATTTACTCATTTAACATGAGGAAAAGGAGCGCTGATTCTTTTTTTTTTTTTTTTTTTTTTTGACAAAGGAACACAATCATTAACTTTAGGAAAATAAAGGACATTAAGGAACTTTTTGTAGTTTATTATTCTATATCATGACAAATATTATTTCAATTTTAAATATTTTTTTGTGGCTTAACATAAGGAAATACTGCAGTTAACATACCCCATGGCTATTTTGGTTATAAATGGTACATCTTTGAAAATTACATTAAATTTTACTGACCTCTAAATGACTATTAACCATTGCTTAGATTTTCCTTATTCTATTAAATATGGACATCTGCCTGAGTGAATGTTAAATGGAAAAGCTGTACAAACACACTCCTGGGGCTTTGGGGAGAGTAAAGTGGGTAAATTTGGGGAGTTGTTTCCCTCAAATTTTATTATTGTAATGCATCATTATCAGTTATCTCATTACACATATTTTTATCTCTTTATAAAACACTTGCACAAATATTACCATGTTTAATCTTCATAACTCCACCGGAGCGGATTTCATTTTAAATAGGAACCTCCTTAAAAGTTTCATTCAGTTAGCAAGAGACTGCTTTTTGGTTTTTACCCATTGTAAAAACTCTGTTTCATATGTATATAAAATCCAGATTCAGATAACAAGGAGGTAGGCAGGATCTAGCAAGAGTAGAGAGAAAGAAACAGGAGAACTCAGAATACAGCCTTGAGGAAGAAAGTTGATTTTTCACTGGGCAAAGTACTGATCACAAGGAAAATTGGAAATGAATGTAAACATTGCTGGTTTCAAAACACATTTACTCATTTAATCCCCGTATCCCAGAAACATTTACAAAGAATTTAGTATGTGCTAGGCCTAGGAGACATGATGAATCATCAAATGCAGTAGACTACACTTCAGTCTGGCAATCTATTAGGAACTCATTCTTTTTTTGTTTTGTTTTTGTTTTTTTGAGACAGAGTTTCACTGTGTCACCCAGGCTGGAGTGCAGTGGCGCAGTCTCTGACTCACAGTTCAGGTGGTTCTCCTCCCTTAGCCTCCCGAGTAGCTAGGACTACAGGCGTCCACCACCACGCCCAGCTAATTTTTGTATTTTTTGTAGAGACGGGGTTTCACCATGTTGGCCAGGCTGGTCTCGAACTCCTGACCTCAAGTGATCCGCCTGCCTCGGCCTCCCAAAGTGCTAGGACTACAGGCGTGAGCCGCCACACCTGGCCAGGAACTAATTGTTTTATTCAATTAAGCAATAAGCAATAAGACCCTGATATATTTTTGGCACTGTTGGTGGAATGCTGTGGTCTGAATGTTTGCGTATGCCCCAAATTTATACTTTGAAATCCTAACCCACAATGTGATGGTATTAGGAGGTGGTTAGATCATGAGGGCTCTGCCCTCATGATTGGGATTGGTGCCGTTATAAAAGTGACTGCGGAGAGTTAGTAGCCTTTTCTACCATGTGAGGACACAGAAAGCAGGCACCATTTATGAACCAGGATACAGGTCCTCACCAGACACTAAATCTGCCAGCACCATGCTCTTAAACTTTCCAGCCTCCAGAACTGTGAGAAATAAATTTCTGTTCATTACAGTTACCGGGTTATAGTATTTTCCTATAGTAGCCCTAACAAACTAAGACATGGGGCTACACAGTTCAGTAATCCCTGGTCATTGCTACTCGGAGGTTCACAGTTCAGTACGGGAGACCAGACATTTAATGAAGTGAAAAGAGTGGTAAAGAAGGCATATAGGAGGCACAGAGGTAGCACACAGGAGGGAGGGATGAGCACCAATTAAGTGGTGTCTGTCAGGGGCTATGCTTCAGTGGAGGTTTTAAAGACAGGTGGGAATTTGCAAGTCAGAAAAGACAGGTTAGGACATTCCAGGCGGAAGAAATAGGGTGTTCAGAGGCATCAAAGTGTAAGAAAGCATGATGTGTCCTGGAGGAAGGGTAAGCAATTCAGAATAGAGGAAGCTTGGGGTGCCAGGCAGAGGAATGGTACTGCTATCCTCCTAGGGTTAGGTTTATGGATAGATGGAGTCAGGTTAAGAATTATCCTAAACCTTGGCCAGGCATGATGGCTCACACCTATAATCCCAGTGCTTTGAGAGGCTGAGGAGGGAGGACCAGGAACTTGAGACCGGCCTGGACAACATAGCAAGACCCTGTCTCCACAAAAAAAATAAAAATAAAGAAATATTCTAAACTTTATCTGCTATGGATATGTGAAAACAAGGTGCAGGGGCTTTTGGAGCAGCTAGATTAATTATTAAGGAACTGATTCATTTTGGTGAAGGTGGATCTAACACCCTTTAAGAGAACACCAGACCAGGTGCAGTGGCTCATGCTTGTAATCTCAGCACTTTGGGAGGCCGAGGCGGGTGGATCACTTGAGATCAGGAGTTCGAGACCAGCCTGGCCAACATAGTGAAACCCCGTTGCTACTAAAAATTCAAAAAAATTAGCTGACGTGGTGGCAGGCACCTGTAATCCCTGCTACTGGGAGGCTGAGGCAGGAGTATTGCTTGGACCCGGGAGGCGGAGGCTGCAGTGAGCCGAGATTGTGCCACTGCACTCCAGCCTGGGTGACAGAGCAAGAGTCCATCTGAAAAAAAACAAAACAAAAAAGAGAACACCACTAACTGGTGGTACCTTCTATGTCTCCCATCACCAAGGTCCAGAACTACGTAGAAAAGAACATGAAGACCTTATGGCCTAAAGTCTACTAATGTAAACTTTTCAGAAGTAGGAGGCATGGCTGTCATAATCATATGGCCACAAGGTATCTGCGTTTGCCTCTGGAGGGTGAGTCTGTGGCCACTGCTGGTGTGGAAATCAAGAAGAGATTTCTGTAGCACTGGAAAGTTGGTGATATGAAGTGTCTGGGCAGGTTGGTTATATGTTAGGGCACTTGTAGGGCCAGTTTCCTCCATTCTAGGTTGG